CCTGTGGGACCCCACTTGAGACCTCCCTCCAATCCGACATCATTCCATTAATAGTTACTCTTTGTTTGTGGTTGCTTAACCAGTTATGTATCCATGTAATGGTAGTTCCACCAAGCCCTCATTTCTCCAGCTTACCTATCAGAATGCCATGTGGGACTGTGTCAAAAGCCTCACTGAAGTCCAGGGTATATTATGTCCGCCGCATTCCCCCTAGCCATCAAACCAGTTACCCTGTCAAAAAAGGAAATCAAGCTGGTTTGGCATGATTTGTTCTTGATAAATCCATGCTGGCTGCTAGTGATCACCCCTTCATCCCCCAGGTATTCGCAAATAGAATGTTTCCTACATTGCTCTAGTATCTTCCTGGGTATTGAGGTCAGGGTGACTGGTCTATAGTTCCCTGATGTCACGGTGTCACCGGGCGATGCTCTGGAACTACTCTATACGAAGCCAGTCAGGACTCTGGGGGAGCCTCCTCTCTCGGAGCATTCTGTCTCCAGGGCAAGAAGCTTACACAGCTTCCACCTTCCTGGGTCTGACCTCGGAGCATTCAGCATCCCCTGCCTCCCAGTGTGATTCCCGCAGCAAGTCTGCCCAGGCGGGGCTCCTGGGGAAGTCAGAGGGCTCTGCACCCCAACTCCTGCAGTCATCAGCCAGCCGGTAAAACAAGGTTTATTAATTGACAGGAACACAGCGTAGAACAGAGCTTGCTATCACAGAAATAAGTGACTTTCAGCCAAGTCCATTTTGGGAAGTCCTGGGCCAGACGGCTTGGACTCCCCCTCTTCCAGTCCCCCAAACAGACTGCCAGCTTCCAGCAACCCGACCTCAGACACCCCTGTTGCTCCTCCTCCTCCTCCTCTCTGTCCTGCTTCCACCGCAAAAGGTGTCACCTGGTCGCACCCCCCTTCTGGGTCTCAGGTTACGAAGGGCACGGCCATAGCATACCTGCAGACCCAGACCACTGGGCAACCTCACCAGCCCCGGGGGCCTCAGCAAAAATCACACACCCAATTCCCACCACCGAAATATTGGTGTAGTACACAGAGAAACGGAGGTACACATAGTGTTAGTATAGACATTAAGGGCTGGTCCACACTAACCCCCCACTTCGAACTAAGATACGCAACTTCAGCTACGTTATTCACGTAGCTGAAGTCAAACTATCTTAGTTCGCGGGTCCACACGCGGCAGGCAGGCTCCCCCGTTGACTCTGCGTACTCCTCTCGCTGAGCAGGAGTACCGGCATCGACGATGAGCACTTCCGGGATCGATTTATCGCGTCTAAAGATAAATCGATCCCAGAAGATCGATTGCTTACCGCCGGACCTAGAGGTAAGTATAGACGTACCCTAAGACTCACATGCAACATAGCCAGATGAATAAAACCCCACTTTGTTACACCTGGCTTCTCCTTTTTCCCTTTTTTAAAGATGGGCACTGCATTAGCCCTTCTCCAGTGTCCCGGGACCTCTCCTGTCATCCATGAGTCTGCAAATATTATTGCCAGTGGCTAGGAGATTTCTTCAGCTAATTCCTTCACCACCCTCGTGCGAATAGCATCTGTCCCCACTAATTTGAATTCATTCAAATTGGTCAGAAGATCTGACACGTTCTTTACTTATTCTGATCTGCATCCCTTCCCCTTACTGACTGTGGTAACTTTGCTAGTTGTCCAGTCACATGTTATATTTTGTGCAAAGACTGAAGCAACATAAGCATTGAGCAGCACTGCCTTCCTCTCATCTGCTGTTACCAGCTCACCTTCTCCATTAAGCACACCATCCTTGATCCTTCTTTTTTGTCTGACATTTTAAAGAACCCCTTCTTGTTGTCTCTTTTCTATATTAGCGAATAGAAGGCGCAATCTAATCTTTGACATGAAATCTCACTGCTTCTTTTTATCCCCTTAACCATGCAATAAGGGAGACTCCTGGCCACACGGCTGGTCCTTGCATCAGTTGCACTTCTGGATTCAGTAGTTTATTTGGAGGGTTCCGTCAGCTTTTCTGGGCCTTGTGACCTGACCTGGACAAGGGGAGAGGTTGTCCACGCGGGTTCAGCAATCTCTGGGGTCACAGACGGTGTGCAGTGGCCTGAGGTGTATATACTCTGGTTTGAGGTTAGCTGGAGGGTGGCTACTCTGTTTCTAATTGGCCATTAGCAGCTCCTGGTTTCTCTGCTATTTCCGTCAGTGTCCAGTAGATGGGGGTGATATATAGCACATTTCTTCGATGCGCCCTTAGTTGGAGCATTTCAGTCATTTCCTGGATTATATTTTACCGTACGTCTACACTTGAAAAGCTGCATCAGCACAGCTGCACCGAAGTAATTCTGTAGTGTGGACCTGCCCTTAGCATCTGCCCCAACGGTAAATTGGCATCCCCCGTTTTTAAGGCAATGTGTATACTACGGCTTCTATCGGCATGACTTCTGTCCCTCAGGGGTGTGAATAAACCAACACTGACATAAGTGCTGGTGTGGACAGCACGAGGTTGGCAGGAGAGTTTCTCCCACTGACACAGCTGTTGCGTCTTGCGGAGGTGATTTTATTATGCTGATGGGAGAGCTCTCTCCCATTGGCATAGAGCGTCTCAGCCAGACGTGGGGCAGCTGCGCTGTTGTAGCGCTTCTAGTGTAGACAAGCCCTCACACATTTCTCTTAATATTCCAGCGTTATACCCTGGCTTGGTGCTTGTATCATTCAACATTCTTGTTTTCCTTCTAGTGCCATACAATTCCTATCGCTTCTACGGGGCAACAATAATTTATATAGAAAGCAAACAAAATTCCTTGTCTTCTAAATCTAGCGGACATGCTCCATACATTCTTGCACTATATCTAATACTTTTCACATCCCATCTTCCAGGCTTATCATAGGATAGGAGACATTACACTGGAAGAACAAGGCTGATTATTCATGAGGAGAGTTGCAAATCTGATTTCCAAGGCAGACAAATGTACAATTTGGGGTGGAGGCCAGATGGTTTGGATTTCTTGGGGTAACAGTTTGCTCCATTTGATTCAGTTTCCTGAGTCTCACAGCAAGCTATTTCTAACTTACATTTTCTACACTTATCTCTGGTTCTTAAATAGACCAGGAGTACTTGTGGCACCTTAGAGACTAACAAATTTATTAGAGCATAAGCTTTCGTGGACTACAGCCCACTTCTTCGGATGTTAACATATTTGAGCCAACAGGGTCCTCTGCACAGGAAAAAGGAAAGTTATTCTTATCTCTGGCCTGGCAGGGGTTCTCTTGGGGCTTTGTCTACACTGGATTTTCGTCCATTCAGGGGTGCGGCAAAAAAAACACCACATGCAAACGACAAAATGTTTACTGACGAAAAGCACCGGCGTGAACAGCGCTTTATTGGCGGGAGAGCTCTCCTGCTGACAAAGCTACAGCCTCTCGCTGGGGGTGGAATTTTTTGTCAGCGGGAGAGCTTTCTCCCACCAACAAAGAGCAGCTACACTGCGCACCTTTTAGTGGCACGGCTGTAGCGGTACAGTTGTGTCACTAAAAGCTGCGTAGTGTAGACATAGCCTTAGACTAAGGGCTTGTCTACACTTACAGTGCTGCAGCAGCATTGTAGCGCCTAATGAAGATGCTACCTACACCAGCTGGAGAGCGTCTCCCATTGGCTTAGCACTGTCTACAGCAGGAGTTCAGTCACTATAACGGTGTCTCTCGGGTATGGATTTTCCACACCCCCGAGCGACATAGTTATACCCGAATAAATTTGTACTGTAGACCAGAGCTAAGAGAGGTGGAGGTTGACAGTATGGTCTGATCTACACTATAGATTCACATCAGTATAACGACACCACTCAGGGCGAATCCACCCCCCTGAGCGGCGCAGTTATACCAACCTAACCCCAGGTGTAGACAGTGCTATGTCTGTTGATGTAGCTACCGCCTCTCGGGGAGGTGGATTCGCTATGCCAGCGGGAGAGATCTCTACCATCAGCATAGGATTCTCTTCATTAAAGCGCTACAGACAGCGGCTTTTTAAGTGTAGACCTCCCCTATGTAAACTATGGGAGACTTTGGTATGAGATGTTAACAACAGTTGGAAGATTCCTTATCAGGCATCTCCTTTCTTATCAGGCTTTCCTTTCCTGGGAACTGTGTATTTTAACTTTAGCTTAGTTAATATCCCCAGACAAAATGTCCCACCAGTTGTGATGGGCAATAGATTCTCATTGTCTTTAGCTTTGAGAAGAAGCTAAACGTTTCAAATAAGCATAAGGGTGATTGTGACCAGCTAGTTAAAAGGACAGAGGGAGAAGAATTACATTAACTGTACGGTGTGTACACGTTAAAATATACTTTGAAAATACATAAACTACAGTTACCAGCTCTCTGAAGCAGGATCTCGGGGTCTATCTTTCTCTTCGACCTTCCATTCCTGGTCTCACAAAGTGTCACACAAATACCAGCCCGACAGGATTCCACATGCAAATAGAGAGCACTAAAAATAGATAACGAACCAGATCCAGATTTCACTGAGCAACCTAATCACAGCTAGGATGTTTGTTTCTCTCTCACTCTTAGGACCTTCTAGTGCTCTCTGAATAATCACCAGACAGATACTAAGGCCAGTCTGTCACCTTAATGGGTGCGCATCCCTCCCTAGGACTGTCTGCAGGGTCATCGTTATGTATGAATCCAGGGGAGGGGAGGGACTTGGATGGGTATCTTTCTGGCCCAGAGTAGAAGCCACTGCTGGTGTTGTAGTGACATACTGATATTTATTGGCTAGGCTGTTAGCTGTGCCTGGAACTCAGTCCTAAGAGAAGAGTGTTGCTTGTAAGGAGAAACCCTAGATTTTTAGCATGAAAATTATTTCTTAGGAAATGAAGGATTTGTCCTGCTCTCTGTATATTAAGTTTTTCCTGTGATCTCCATTTTCATTCTTTGTCCTGGATTTTCTGTCTGGGAGGATTCCCTGGAGCGTTCCTTCTGTATTTAACACTGTTCTTCATGTCCCTTTCAGAGTTAACCTGCCCCGCCAACAGCCACTATGAGCTCTGTGGACCTTCCTGCCCGGCCTCTTGTGCCCACCCAGCTGTGCCCTCCCGCTGCTGGACTGCGTGTGAAGAAGGGTGCCAGTGTGACCCTGGCTTTGTGCTGAGTGGCACCGACTGTGTGCCTCGGGAGCAATGCGGCTGTACCCACAATGGCAGATACCACCTGGCAGGGGAAAGCTTCTGGGAAGGAGAAAATTGCCAGAGACTGTGCAGATGTGACGGCTCCTCCCACGCTGTCCAGTGCTCCCGCTCTGCCTGTGCCCCGGGGGAATTCTGTGGCACTCGAAAGGGGGTTTATGGATGCCACGAACGAACCAACGGCATCTGCTGGGCTTCTGGGCTGCCCCATTACACTACGTTTGATGGGAAGCGATACAATTCCCAGGGCACCTGCAGATATGTCTTTGCTGAACTGTGTGGGGCATCCCAGTCCTTACCCTTCTTCAGAGTGGAAGTGAAGAACGGAAACCTGCCCCGTGTTCCTGTGGCTGTGACCTCGGAGGTGTTTGTCCTTGTGAACAGGACTGAGATCCATCTGCAGAGAGGGCAGCACGGGACAGTCAAGGTAATTCCATGGGGCTAGCGCTCTCGGGGAAAGCACTTAATCAAAGAAATGAAATACGGGGGAAAGTCATTTCCCAGTAGTGGTTGGTTTTTGCCCACTTTCCTGAATACTGGGCTGCCGGCTCCACACTCCGCAGGGCTCGGGCTGCTGGCCCCTGCTGACTGCTGGGGGTCGGGCTGCCGGCCCCAACTGCCCAGCCCTGCGCTGCATGGGGCTCAGGCTGCCGGTGCCGCCGCTGACCGGGGCTCGGGCTGCGCGCCCTGCAGGGCTCGGGCTGCGCGCCCTGCGGGGCTTGGGCTGCTGGCCCCGTGCTGATTGGGGCTCGGCTGCCCACTCAGTGCTCCACAGGGCTCAGGCTGTCTGCTCTGCAACTGGGTCACACCTGCTGCCTCCTGTGCCCGGGGTCCTCTGGCCGCCATTAAGGAAATTTTTCTGGCGAACCCCAGTTTGGGAACCACTGCTCTAAGCTGCGAAGGCTGTCAAGGACTGCGCAAGCGGGGAGAGGTGCCCCTACCCCAGCCCAGCCCAGCTGGAGCTGCCATAACCAGGGAAAGCCACCCTTCACCCAGCCCGGCCCAGCCAGACCTTCCGTGGCTGGAGAGAGGCGTCCCTCCCTTGCTCCAGCCCAGCCGGAGCTGCCCGGCAGGGGATAGGAGCCCCTCCCCTGGCCTGTCCTCGAGCTGCTGCAGCGAGGGAGGGCTTGGAGGAGTCCTCTCTCCTCACCACAGCCCCAGGACAGCCTGCACCCCAAACTCCTCAGCCCTGGCCCCACCCCAGAGCCCGCACCCCCAGCCAGAGCCCTCTACTGCCCTGCATCCCAACCCTCTGCCCCATCCCTGAGCCCCCTCCTGCATCCCAAACCCCTTATCCCCTCCTGCATCCCAAACCCCTTATCCCTGGCCCCACTCCAGAGCTTGCACCCCCAGCGAGAGCCCTTACCGCCCTGCACCCCAACCCTCTGCCCCACCTGAGCCCCCTCCCACACTCCAAACCCCTCGGCCCCACATCACCTCCATATTGGTGCACATAATATTAATTCCGCACATGCACGTAAAAAATTAGAGGGAACAGTGCCATTATTTCCCCTACAGCAGTCTGTTCAGCACTTTGTGACTAAGCCATAATACCCAGGACAGGTTTAGGTTTAGCTCAGATCTCATGTGCACACTAGTTATTGTTTGTGTGCATGTTGGTGCTGGATGCAAGGTAATCTCAACCTATTCAGCTTATCAAAGGAAAGGTTAAGCACAGTCTTGATCAGGCCTGTAAGTAGGTAGAAGAGAACTGATTTTAGAGGCTCTTCAGCTAGCAGAGAAAGGAATAACAGTGGCTGAAAGTTAGGAGTTAGAATAATTCAAATTGCAGACAAGAGGAAACGTTTTCACAGCGAGTAATGAACCAAGTCGTTTTCCCAGAGAAGTGGTTCACTCATCCTCACGTAGAATATTCAAATTGAGATTGACGTCTTCTTACAAGACGTGTGTAGTTCAACCACAAGGTGTCATGGATTCTCAGGGTCTGTGTGATCGCCCCGGCCTGTATAGCCTCTTTGGAAAGCACCCTTAGCTTTCCCAGGGCTGTGGGTTTAGCTTTTTCACAAGAAACAGCTGCGTGGCTTCCTGAGACCAGACTCCTCCTCAGAGAGCAATGCAACCAGAAAAATATCTGCATTGCTGCAGGGAAGCCTTTTCAAAGCCAGGCAACATTTACTAGTCATCAGGACTATAGCATCAGAGAGACATTAGGTCAGCATGGAGAAGCAAACCTTCAGTCAGAGTCCATCTGTCCTGCTTCCCAGAGACTCCTCCAGTCTGTCTCCATCTCTGTTTCCTTGTCCCATTGGGAGCCTCCTTTGGGTGTGCTGTTCTCCTGCTGGGACTTTGAGTCCTCTCCCCTGCTGAGAGTTGGGGAATTAACTTGCTCTGGGCCCTCAGTTGTTAGGTGTTAATGTCCTGGTCCTTGGCTCTTCCATTGTCAATGCAGGGCCCTCTATTCATACCTGCTGACCCCATTCAGTTCTTGATAGCACATCTGGATCCAACTCAGGCAGCCTGACCCAAATAGCCCATCCCGCCCCCTCTTCCATGGAAAGCAATTTAACTCCTATACACGAATACAGGCAGTGTGTAAACTGAGATACAGATATAAAGCAACAGAGGGTCCTGTGGCACCTTTGAGACTAACAGAAGTACTGGGAGCATAAGCTTTCGTGGGTAAGAACCTCACTTCTTCAGATGCAAGTAATGGAAATCTCCAGAGGCAGGTATATATCAGTGTGGAATGGACATTGTGAATGGCTATCCAACTACAGAAACAGTTTCTCCTCCCTTGGTGTTCACACCTCAACTGCTAGCAGAGCACCTCACCCTCCCTGATTGAACTAACCTCGTTAACT